TGCGGAGGGATGTGGTTGGTCATGCCAATGTGTGCGAGCAAAGACTAGCCCGGTAAGGTATTTTGAAGACATTGAAGATATTGAAGACTCGCATCTTGGTTTTGGAGGGAGTACCCCTTAGTACTCCCGAGTCTCGTCCGAGCCTTGTTTAGTTAGATTCTCACCGCCTTTTTAGGATAGGTTATCATTTTTCTAGGGGTCTATAATAGATAGTTAGATAGATTTTGTTTATCACACCTTGCATTGAGGTGCTTGATGAACTTTGAAGTGGGTCCCCCAATTCACATCTTTTGGGACCAAGTCTTTTCGGTAACACCCATTTTTGAGTCATTCCCACCCTTTTTAGTTGATCTTGGCACATTGTCAATGATCATTAGGTTTCATATTAGCCTCCATCTATCACTCAATTTTCACTATTGGAGTCCTATGTTACTTGGTGAAATTCCTTAGACCTTTCAAGAAGCAACACAAAGAATGAAGAAATTTGAAAAAGTGAAGAAAATAAGAGCCTATTAAAGATGATTCAAGAAAAGCAACAAAAACAAAGAAGAAAAAGAGCAACACAAAAAGAAGAACAAGATTCCAAGTTCAAGACTTATGTTATATATGTTGATTATGAAAAAAAAAAAAAAAAAAAAAAAAAAAAAAAACCAGATTCAAGCAGCAAATGTGATTGAAGACCCAATAACAGAAGTTCAAGATTGAAGATTTAGGTTGTTAGGTTTAGATTTAGGTTAAGTATAATTTTTATTATTTTATTTTATTTTTGATTTTTGGTGAGAAAAGGCCCCGACGATGAGACGGTAGACTGTAAAGGACAGTACAAGGGAGAAGCCTCTGAAACCGGATGTTTGCCCGGAGGCCGTGCTACAAAACCCTATTTCGTTATTATACACTTTGGCCTGACAAATGTAGGAATCATAGTGTGTGAAGAGGCGCCTTTCCTTCGTGCACTATGGTCTACATTGGTGATTTAAAGTGCCCCCACTGGGCGCATCTCTGTTTCCTTTGTCTTGCACACCGCGACCGCATCCAGCCGTGATCTATTCGCCCATCAAGTGGTTGAGAATGTGGTTTATGGCTCTAAAGCGGGGAACATTTTGAAGATGCGTAGGGTCCATTGAAGGACTAATTCTGACCATGTTGACTGATGTTGACCAAGTTCTATGGTATCTTTCTTTTTCCTTTTTAGATAGTTCATCCCGAGCTCATTTTTAGTCTTGTTCTAACTTGAGGACAAGTTAGGTTTAAGCTTGGGGTGATTTGATAGCTTATTTTATTTCCTTATTTTTATTAGTTTATTTTAGATTTTTAGATCTTTTTATCATTAATGCATTGTATTTTATTTATTTTTCTTTAGTATGGATCATACCGGGTGCTTGTTATGTTGCATAAGATATTTTGTAGGTTTTTCGGTGCTTGTTGCGGTTGTGGGTTGATCGGAGACGGAACTTAGTGGGCTCCCGAGGCATTATTGGGCTTGGCGGAATCAAAGAGGAAGAATTGGGCTTTGAAAGATATTGGCTTGGATTATTTGGGCTTGTGAAGATGGATCATAAAATTCAAATTTTGGGCTTGGAGCATCCATTTGATGGGCTAAATGATGATTGGTGCATTTCAAATTACAGGGACAAGGAGGGGGGACCAAAGGAATCTTTGGTAGTGGAAGGGTGTAGTGGCTTGGTGGACCAATAGCATTACAGCAACATTTGCGCGGGTGGAATTTCCGTCGCGCGGGTACCCGCGCAACTGCCCAGTTTGGGCATTTTGGTCATTTGGCTTGCCTTAACCTTGGGGATCAGATCTGGGGCTCAGATTCACGTTTTTCCACCATTAGAGACCTGCAAGAGGCGATTTTGGGAGCAAAAGATCATTTCCTTTCATCTTTCCAAATCTTAGGTAGTTTCTTTATGCAATTAGATTATTGTTCTTGTTTCTTTGTTGCCATGAGTGGCTAATACTCTTATTTGGTTAATTTTGGCTGAAAACCAATGAATGTTTGTGGGTTTTGAAGGATTTATGTTGATTATCAATTTATTCCATGTTTATGATTCTAGTTTGCAATTCTTATGCTTATTTGATACTTTGATCATGAGCTTAGTATTTGATTGAGCAATAGTTGATTTATTTCATTGATTTTGCATTGGATCATTGAATTTATCTAGAACAAAGGCTTTATGATGGTAGAAATCATCTCTAGCTTGTGAATCATATCTCCTTTATGGATGTGTAAGCATTTGACATCCTCTAGGAATTGGGGATTCCTTCATTCTTAAAGCTAATTGATTTCTTGGGATTAATTGCTTCAATTGACCCTTGATCTTAATTAAGAAGGTGTGTTGTGGGCTTCCCCAACCTCCATACTATCTATGAGGAATCTTGGCATATCATGCTTCATGATTGCTATAACCAATTTGGGATGAAAGATAAGCTTTGTATTAGATCCTAATGATAAACACACAAATGTTCATTGTGTTGAATTGCCTTAGTTAACCAATTATTCACAACCTTTGAGCATCTCATCAACTTGCTTAATTGCAAGGTTTTTTAGTTATTCAAGTATTTTAGTTATCAAGTAATCAAACACCCCCCTTTTTATTTTAATTGTAGTTAGTTAGTTTAATTTCACTAGTTCTATTAAATTGCATTGGTGATTGAATACAACCATTTCCCCGAGGATCGATACCCCTTTTTACCATTATATTACGTTTAGTTAGCAATCAAAGGGTGTAATTTGTTTGGTGGGTTTGACATCCCGATCACAACTTTTGAAAGTATTTATTGGATACCTTTGGAAATAGAGTTGAAATTTCCATATTTTGAAAAATATTTCCAATACACGATTCTTGAAATTACCAAAGTTATTTTGATATTTTGATCCTACTTTTCGAACAAAAATAATCTAAGGTGAAGCATCATTAGATTAAGACTATATTGATTGTGTAAACATTTGAAATGTGTTCGAAATGAATTTTGTGTCAACTATGCATTTTTCTAACGGAAAGCCCTAGCACATTAGTGTTTAAACCTAATAACCATAACATAGACATGTGAATTTTAATCATATGACCAAACTTCATCTAGTTTTTTAGTTTTTTCTTTTCATTAATTAGTATTATCTAGATAAAATGTTATCTGGATACTAAATTTTCAAAAAAAAAAAAAAACATTTGATAAAAAGATGTCACTCTTGCGGAATAGAAGAAAAAAATGAGAGCAAAGTTTTAAAATATAAGAATTTATTGTGGAAAGTATCATTTTTCTGACTTCTGAGTTTCATTACTAATTAATTTATTATGTAAGTTAATAAATAAAAATAAAAAATAAATACTCAAACATAATTTACCTAAATACATTAAGTCAACAAATTAAAGTTCTAGTCCTTCGGATGAGATAGAAATGGGAATTATTTTAAGGAATCGATGTGTACGAAAGATGTTTATAGAATAAAGTCTTGCCGAATCTGAGCCCAAGCTACTCACGGTTGCTTTTAATGAGATAACAAGTTGAAGGTGGTCTTGTGTATTAAATTATGAGACAAGATAATGTCGTAAACCATACACTACTTTAATGCTTGCGTACTTGTGAAGATTTTAATTAGAGGTTAAGATTTAAAGAAAGCTTAAAGAGTATGATGTAAAATAGATGTCAAAATTGATGTGAATAATTTCTAATTATATATTAGGATGGATGGCAAGGAAATGAGATGCTTGAGATGTCATTTCAGTACTTTAGTATAGTAACAATAGATTGGAATGTATAGCCCTAATTGATTGCACATGCAAAACCTAAAGAACCAAAGGGATGGATCCAAAACCATCTGCTTATGATGGGATTACATGTTTTGTTGTGACATACACCAAATCACATCACATTATAAAGTTCTTAACAACAGTACTGTTTAGGAAGTTCATGATTTTGCCACCACATTTTAGCATCTTTAGTTTGCAGCCCCTATATAGATGATGCTGTCTTTTTATTATTATTATTATTATTATTATTATTATTATTATTATTTAAATTTAGATGCTTCTCTAGACATGTTTTCCCTTCTCTATTGGACCTCTTACGTGCTTTTCTTTTCTTCATCCCCATCTCACCGTTTGTAGAATCATGAAGCCTCAAAAGAATAACAAAAACACATCAACTGTTGCTTGCGTCCCCAGCGGAATGGGGGGCTAAGCAATCTCTAGTTTTCTATAATTTTATGTGTGTTCTTACTATTTAGCTTTTTTATTACAATATATGCAATTATAATATATTTGTTTTTATGACACATTAAAAGAACAAACAATAGCACAAAAACAGAAAAGCTTTAAGTATATTCATTAATTAGATTAGATATGTAATGTACATACATATCTTCAAGGGCAAACGCTACCAATGGGTATCCGTGTGTCCACCAATAGGTCCTCGCTCATCACTCTTGTTATATGAGGTAAGTTCGCTATGTGTCATGCAAGAAAAAAGATGTCCAGACCCGAACTTGATATAGTTTGCTTATCACTTTTCACTTTTTACAATTTTATGGTTATGGCGAAATATTACAAGAAACTAATTGTACTGATCGATTAAAATTTTTTATATAAATTTTGAAAATTCAATTTTCAACGTAGACATGTCGTTCTTGTAGGTCGATGAGAATTTTTCCCACCAATTTTTTTTCGCTCCGGTTTATAAAAACAACACCACGGCGACATGTTGTTTTTGTATACACATCTTGCTTTTGAAAAGGTAAATAATTTTAATTACTAATTAGATGAGGATCCCCGCGTTGCGGGGATGGATGTGAAAAGAACTGATCAATAATGCAATTTACTAAACTAACTTAGAAGTTCAATATGAACATGTTTAGAGTGTAAGGGTGATGTGAGATTTATTGTTTGGTTGATTAACTGGTAATGGGACCAAAAACTGGGAAAAAAAATGTTTCCACTGAAATGCCCTTGGTGATACTTTAAAGAAAAAATCAACTAACATTACATGCCAACAGGTTATCCTTAACTAAAACAGAAAGAATGCCACATCATCACCATCATGGACCAAAGTTTCCCCAAAAATCTCTCAACAGCAGCATGACCATTGCCCGAAGTAGCACATAAAACCCTAATATTCTCCTGCACATCAAAGAATCCCATCTCCTGAAGTTGAGATAGTTGAGTTGCATAAAGTTGCTCTGGTGCCACTACAAATTAAAAACAATAATCATCGTCATCATTATAAATAAAAGTTCAGGGTAAAAACGTAAATTTACAAAAGAATTTGACTTACCATCAAGGACATTTGGGACTCCCATGCCACCAGCTCCAAGTCCACCAAACATACTCATCAACATGTCGAATCCCATATTGTTTTGTGATCCTGTAGATTAAAAACTTGAAATAATATTAAAATGGCATATGATTTATAAAAATTATTAACAATGGAAGTGTCTAGTTACTACCTGGAGAAGCACCAGTCTGAGTAGGATTCCTGAAACATAAAACTTAATGCGTTGAGCATGTAAAACTGACGAATATTGTGAAATTTGTTTTTTAAAATGTAAGGTTAAAATGGTTATTTGATCTCTCATCCAGACCATCTATTCAGTCTAGAAAAGAAACATGCCTCATGTATAGTTGTATACAATACTTTATTCAGACAGACAATATAATCCATTCAACTACTTTACCAATGATAGCTATATTCAAGTGATTCTTTTTTACTTAATACATAAATGCCAACTTAATTGGATCATTTTGGAACTTAAATCAAATCAGTTACAGTAAAAAAAAAAAAGAAAAAAAAAAGAAAAAAGCATTTCCACTTACAAAGTTGATTGTTGTTGATTAAGCTGGGGTAGAAGTTGTTGTAAAGACATCATTTACTGTATAAAATAAATCAACTTATAATCAAACTCAAATTTACAACAGTCAAAGTTACAAACCAATATTACACCACAATTTGTATACCTGCATCATTCGAGGTGAAGTTAACTGACGAAGCACTTCTGGATTCTGCATCATCTCCCTCAACTAAGGGTTAGAATCGAACATAGTGCGAAGCTGGGGGTTTTGACTCACAATCTACAAATTCACATCACCACTACCATCAAAAAAATTTATAAATTCTCCAGTACCTAAACTATAGTGTATATCATGTTTAACATACCTGCTCCATATACTGGGGATTTGAAAGCAAGATTTGGTTGTTGTCGGGGCTGCAAAGAAGACTGGTGGTCAGGTAGCCGGCAACCGGTGACAAAGGTGAAACTTTCATCACTCAACCAAGGGGTATATTTGGCAATTTTGGGGGAAATATTTTAGCCTCAATTTTTTTTATTCTTGTAGCTAGTATCACTATCACTCTAAAAATATAATCAGAAATCATTGTAAGGGTATTAGGGGTAATAAGGGTAGTTTAGTAATTTTTAATTCATTTAGCATAATAAGAATTTTCCTTCCGGTTCATCAACATTATTTACTCTGCAATACAAATATGGATACACTCAACACATAACCCCAAAGCAACCAGCCAAATTGCAATAAAAGTTGATCCAGATAAAAAATATAATGTTAATAGTGATGAAGGTTAAGAAGTTTCAAAATGTTTCTATTTACGTTTATTAATTGATTTTAGGAATTTACTTAATTGTAATAACTTCTATATGCATTTAATATGTAAAATGTATGTAATCCATAACTCGTGCGATCTGATTTTGAGATCTGGAAGGCGATCAAACAGATGAAATCTGCCTCTTTTTAAAGAAACTTGAAGATTCATCTGCTGAAACATATGATATGTTCAGAGAATTAAGTTTTTTCATCAAGAATTTCAGCATCTTTTGCAAGTGCTTCTCGAGCTCAATCACCTGCAAAATTCAATATGTAGGATTCACAAAACTCAAATAAAATCAAAAGTAAAGAATGCATGTAAATAAATCTAAACTCAAACCCATGTTAAGAACCTACAGGTAAATCAATTACCCTTGGAAATTGAAAAGCAAGAACCTGCATAAACACAACATCAGTCTAATGATCTAATCTACATTTATCATTGTGATTGTGAGCACGAGAAAGATTTAATCAAAGAAAAGGAAGAAATTATACAGTAGGTAAATCAATTACCCTTGGAAATTGAAATAGGTTTGTGTTTGTGTTTGGAAATATGGTTAATGTCTTCTTGCTTTGGTGAATACAGTCTGTGTTTGGAGTGTGGTAGCGATTTCTATTGTTGTAAATATGGTTATATCAATTGAATTGAAAGTGAAAGCATAATGAAATTGCAAAAATTAAAGTGGATCTTTGGGTTGCAGATTGCATCAGCGGAGAATGTGTTTGGGATTGGGGTGGAGGTCTGAACAACGACCTTTCAATTAGCTTGATTGGGTGAGTAAAGAAGAAGGAAGTAATCCAAAGAATTGCTTAACTTCATCAACGACCGTTGGGAAGGAGGTTGAGCAGCGACGTGGTGGCCACCAAGTTTCTATCGATTGGGGTAGAAAGAAAATCACAACAAATAACCATGACTCCAATTTATCCCCTCCTCAAATTTACCCTTCCCACTGCATCTTTCGTCTGTTGATGATACCCACCGCAACAACTGTGACAACCCAAAAATTTCCATTCGGTAAAACCATGCACTACAATTGAAGTCAAATCTGTATCAACTAACTATCAAACTTTTGGGATAAGTTTGAGTGTTTTAAGGTTAGTGCTCCAGAGGATATCAGGAGAGAGGATACACTAGGGTTTAATATGTTGCAATAAGTGCCCAAACCTTCAAGAGTTTGGAATACTACAGTCCAAAAATGGTATTCGAACCAAAAACCCTCAAGGCTATATAAAGAAAATTTAGCCATTTTGGATTCATTTGTTACATTTCTAGCTAGAGAAAAGTCGATTTTCTCTCTCAAGGATCTTCACCTGATCACCCCCAACTGTAAGTACTTCAACCTAAAGTGTATATAAGTGTGTTATATGCCTTAATAACATGAAAATCATATCAAAACAACAAGATTTGGGAGTTTACCGCCCAAGAACATCTTGGAGAGTAAACTCCTTTATAAGGGCCAAAGTGTGCCCAATGCCCCTCCAAGCCTTGGGACTAAACCTAGAGACTACCATTACTTGTTTTAGACCCCCCAAAACATTAAGAAACAAGGCTAGAAGTGAGTTCACGACCAAGGAAGTTTTTGGGCCGTGAACTCTATTTTAGGGTGCCAAAATGCCCTAAATGCCTTCCATAAGCCAAGAGACAAGCATAGCACTTTACCATGATGTGTCTAGGACCCAAAACAACCAAAATACCAACACCCATAGGTGTTTACGCCCGCAAGCTTATGACCAAATGGTCCATGGGTCGTAAACTCAAGATAAGAGTGTTTTGATGACACAAACACTTCCTAAGGCTTAGGCATGAATTTAGAATACTTCCTTATGACCTTTAGGACCCTCATAAGCATAAATGGCCATGAGTTTACGGTAGTAAACTCATTTGGGCCGTGAAATCCTCAAAAATTCCAATGAAGGTGGTGTTTCTCATACTAGGTTAAAGCTAATGTCCCTAAAACATTCCCTAGCTTTCAAACTTGTATTCCCACATGTGTAGCCTTGAGTTTACGGCCGTAAACTCCCTTGGGCCATGAACTCATGGTAGTAAACTCATGTGTGTGCCTTATACCTTCCTATGTTGAATCACATGTGATTCCAACACCTAGCCAAGGTGTTTCCTAGTCCCAGAAGGTGTTATCTTTCATATAGTTGTTTATAAACACTATATTCATGTCATTATGTGTCCTTAAATATCATTTAGGACTTATTGTGTCTCGAAACTTCATTCGTGGAACTTCTCATCCGTACGCGCATACCCATTTGAATCACCCACATCAGGTGAGTTCATACCCCGTACTGAATCTTTTATCTATTTTAACTGTTTTAAGGGGGGGGGGGAATACAATTTGAACACAATGATAATTGTGTAAATGTTTGTTATAAACATCTTTCAAAATGTTACTTATGTTATTTATAAGTTGTCAATACATTCCAAAACTCTTTTAAAAGGTTATGTTACTTTATAGTTATAGAAAACTCCATTTTTAAAGTATAAGCATAGCTTGGTAGATAACTGAGTCTTTTCAGTAACAGTCCAGGTAGAACATTAGTAAACTATTATAGGTATAGTTTAGGAGAATGCTATTCATTACTCCTAGTACAATGAAGCACAAAAAGAGTCAGTTTAGTTCACGAGTCTACACTAATGGTATACGTTTACATAAATACATTTACATAGATACATTTACATGGAATACTTTTACATAAGTACAATAACAATACACGATAATAGAACAAAACATATGAAAGAACATAATTTTGTGGTTTGAGCTAGGCATCATTTTGTATATGTGATTGTGTGTAACCTTGTAATGTGTGCTGCCACACATGTGTGTGCGGCCGCACACATGTGTACGGCTGCACGCTCTTGTGGTGGTAGGAGGCGTACTATTTAAAGCAACTGAGTTGTGTCAGTTTGAACTTGTTGCTTCGTGTCAGAACTCTGCTGCAGCAGTACTTTTCTCAAGATGTACTTGACATTTACAGGCAATAGATGCGTGCATGCTTGATTTTAGTTCTTCTTCTTCTACATCTCTCCTTTATTGCAATTAACTTCATTGATTACTAAATTGGATCATTAGATTTAGGACTTACAATTGGTAACAAATCCATTTTGGTGTCAATTGAAGTATTTTTGTTCAAAGGATTGATTGTTGATTTGTTTTTGGTTTGCAAAAGCCTGAAATCAAATTTCATAAGAAAATAAAATTGTTGAAGGTTTGCTGCTAACTGTTAAAGGTTTACTGTTAAAGTGTGTGTGCGGTGGAGCGTATTGTAAGGTTGAACCTTATAATATGATGATGTTTGAAACTGATCACTCAGCATCAGCACGTAATCCAGCGTCAGCATACAAGTTGTTCAGTGTATATCTTTTTAATGTAACATATTTAGTATTTATCTTGTTTCCATAGTTATCATATATTAGTTAGCTGGAAAATCCCTGATTTGTAGGGATTATCTATAATAGTTCTATATAGTCTTTTGTATGGGTTTGTGAAGAGGTTGTCTTTCACAAACCCTAATAGCCGCTTTGTGCGAACAATAATCTCTTTGTGAGATTATCATTCTTAGTGAAAGTTCTTTGTGATACTTCATTGTTCCGTTCTTATTAATAGTCATTGTTTGATAAATCGATTGATCTAAGGTTCTATCAATTGGTATCAGAGCAGGTTTCTTTTATCAAACAAATGGCTTCATCCTCTTCCTCTTCAAACTCATCAAATCACCCTTTTGCTAAAATTCCTCCGTTTGATGAAACCAAATTTTGCTATGTGGAAAATAAAGGCTCTCTATGCATTAGAATCTGTAGATGAAGACATGTTGGACATCATCGAAAAAGGTCCATATGTTCCGATGTAACAGCCCTTGAAAAACAATGTTCCTGATGGTGCCATGAAGAAAACACCTAGAGAAAACTGGACAGTAGATGGCAAAAGAAAGAATGGTCTCGATGTTCGTGCTCGGGCTGAAATCAGCTATGCTTTTCCATACAATATCTTTGGGCTAGTTCAGAATTGCATCTCAGCAAAAGAGATGATGGACACGCTGAATGTATCTTTTGAAGGCACTGAAGAAGTCAAGGCTGCTCAAATAAATGATCTAAACAGAAGGTATGAACATTTTTTTGCAAAGAAAGGTGAAACCCTGACTCAAACCTTTAACATGTTTAATACTCTTGTTAATGATCTGCGGAGACTAGATCAGTTGAAGCATCGAACTATTCTAGTGCAGAAGTTTTTGGATTCCCTAGGTGCAGGTTGGGAGAATCATG